GAAGCGGGGCCGTGCCGGGCTGCCCCGCAGCGGCGCCGGGCATCCGAGCGGCCCCGTCGACGCGCCCTGTCCGGAGCGGGAGCGTTGGGTGCTTCTCCTGCGCTCTTGCACGCTTGCAGCTTTTCGTTTGGGGGTTGTGCCGCTCTTTGGCAGAGGATTTGGAAACAGCTCCCAGCTAGACTGAAAAGGCTAATTTTATTCCTATTAAGTTTGTCTGGTCTAGCAACCCAAGGTGATGCACAGGTATTGCCGCTCTCATGGCTACGGCAGAACCTGTGCTTTGCCCACAGAGGCTGTAGAGTCTCCATCCGTGGAGATATTCGAAAGCTGTCTGGATGCGATCCTGAGCAACGTGCTCTAGGTGACTGCTTGAGCAGGGGCGCTGGACTAGGTGATCTCCAGAGGTCCCTGCCAACCTCAACCATTCTGTGATGAGCGACTTCCCTCGCGTTCACTGTCACTGGGCGTCCTTGCTGCATCTCCTGCCATTGCCCACAGGGAGCTGCAGCCCCAGGGAAGGCGCTTTGTGTGTGCTTGGGTTGCCTAAGGGTGCTCACAGATATGTCTTCACTGCAAAAATTGGTTTGTTTTTACATGTGGCAAGCAAACCCACAGAAACAAAGCCTGGCTTATCTCGATCTCTGCTTGTAGCTGGACAACATCAAGCTGAGGTGGGGGAACGTGCTGCTGGTCTGGCTCAGCAGCCTGGTGGTAAAGCCCATCCGTGGCTGTGCTCTGCTGGCAGTTGGCAGGAGTTGCCTGTCTCCAGGAAATGCAAGTTTTGTGGCGTGCGGATACGGCCTTTGCTGCCGGGTGGGAGAAGCCAGTGCCCGAGGCGCCCGGGACCCTGCTCTGGGCTCCTCGGGAGAGACGTGGGGCTCGCGTGTGTGCGGGCCACTGAGCCTCTTCCCCACCCAGGCTTTCTCCTTGCAGCTTTTCTCTCTGCCTTTTAACCTTCCCTCATCGAGAGCTGTCTTTCCTGCTGTTGCCTTGCAAGAAGGCTTTGGGTTGCAAGCCCTGAGCTTCAAACAAGGGTGCCAGGGCTTTGCACGGAGCTTGGTTTAACGGTGGGAGGAGAAGCCTGGATCAAGGAGCGAGCGCGCTGTTACTTAGCCCCTGCGAATACGCTCCCTGTCATCCGCAAATCCGACGGAGCCCTCCCCGGGAGGGAAGCGCTCCTTAAAGGAAGGCTTGAAGATGAGCAATGGAGAAACATCTGAAAGGGGAGCCCTCGAGGCGCTTTTGTTCCAGCGAGTGGGAGTGTGAGATCCGCTTAGACATGAAAGGCTGCGCGGCTCCGTCCCCAAAGTCCCCGGCGAGACTGCGGCGAGGAGGAGGACGGCGAGCGCGCGGCTGCGGAGGGAGGTCAGCCCGGGAGCGGCTGGCACCGGGACTCCCCTCTCCCTCCCTTCCCTCCGAGCAAGTAAATTAGGTCACACTTGAAAGTCAGTTTCTTGGCTGTGGATTTAATTTAGCTTTTCCAGGCTAGTTATCATATAATAAATTCCGGGAGATTTATAGAAAACATGCCCAGGGAGGCTTAGCCAGTGTGTAACAAGATTT